AACGTCCTCGTTGTGCCAAATCATTTCATCTAAGACCGTACCATCCGTGTGAGATTCTAGAGGTGGCTCCTACGGCCTCAAGAGGTGGCTCCCGCCCTCTCGACGTAGCACTTTGCGCCGCATAACACTTAGCTCTCACAATTCCGGTTGGATTTGCTCTGAATATGTCAAATCTTCCCTGATCCTAAGGGGCTCATAATTCAATACATGACTCGGATCAAGTATACACTTCCTCAGCATTGATACATGGAAAACATTATGAATTTTAGCCAACTCTGGAGGCAATGCAATTTTAGCCAACTCTGGAGGCAATGCAATTTTCTTCCAAATCTCATCACTCCCTTAGTAGGTGATAATCTAAGGAAAATATGATCGCCAACTTCAAACTCTAACTTTCTTCTTCTATTATCGGCATAGCTCTTCTGCCTGCTTTGAGCTATACGAAGCCTCTCACGTATCTGCTGAATCTTCTCAGTAGTAATCTATACTATCTCAGGACCGAGCAGTCTTCTTTCTCCTACCTGATCCCAACAAATAGGTGATCTACATCTCCTACCATACAGTGCTTCATAAGGGGACATATCAATACTGGAGTGATAGCTATTGTTATATGCAAACTCCACCAAAGGCAAATGTTTTTCCCAGCTACCCTTCAAATCCAAAACACAAGCACGAAGCATATCCTCCAATGTTTGTATAGTCCTCTCTGATTGCTCGTCCGTCTACGGATGATAAGATATGCTAAAACCCAATTGTGTTCCCAGAGCATTATTTAGACCTTGCCAGAATCTAGAACGAAATCTCAAATCTCTATCTGATATAATAGTCACTGGTATTCCATGCAATCTCACAATCTCCTTAACATATAATTCAGCAAGCTTCTCAAGAGAATGAGTAGTTTTACAAGGCAAGAAATGAGCCGATTTAGTAAGTCGATCAACAATCACCCATATAGTGTCATTACCACTCTGACTCCTAGGAAAACCAGTCACAAAATCCATTGTTATTAGATCTGATGGATTGGCCTCACAAACCACCACATGTCTTTTCAGCACGTTTTGTCCTCACTCACGCGCTCCCTGGAAAACTTCCCAGGGGGTCACCCATCCTAGAATTTCTCCAGGCCAAGCACGCTTAACTTTGGAGTTTCTAAGAGTTGGGTTCCTGAAAAGAAGATGCATCTTGGTGGAATGAGTATTCCAATCAAATCTATCAATACTAATCACATCACCCTCTCAAGGGTTGGGGTATTACAATATTGGCCTAGGACACATGTGGTCTCTCACAGGGGAATTAACACTTGGTGTAATTATTGACATAACAATAGACATAGATATATTTATACCTATATATATACACAATACATTTTATGCATGTGCAATGCACGTGGTTAAATACCATGATTAAATATTTTTGGTTTATTTCCTTACTAAAATTTGTTCCTTAATTCCACTATTATGTTTTTTTGCTCAGTTATGTCCCTAACTTTAGCATTGTGATGATTTATTTTTTGATGTTTGTTTAAATGAGCTACACCTAGTTTAAATTGTCATGTTCATAATTGAATTGACAGGAACCAAATGTAATTCAAAGCCAATTTGAATTATCATGTTATTTATATCAACATGAAACCAAGTTTGACCTGAGAAAATATAATGTTGTAAAAATATTTAAAAAAATAGCATTATGAAAGGAGGATGAATAAATAAAGCTAATAAAACAAGATGATTGTTTAAAAGTGGGATAAAACGACACAAAAGAGAATAATGAGTTTGTTCTTAATCCTTGATAGACTTTAAAAAAATCATAAACTAAAGATTAATGCTAAATCTAGCATATTTTTATATGATGAAAACATCCACATAAGCATATAAACTACTTAAAATGGTTAATGAAATCTCTTCTAAAGATCCCTAGTTTACTCAAAAAATAAATTATTCTATAAAATATTCAAAAAAAAGTGTCTTTCATTCTTTCTGCTTCGTTTTTTATTGAGCTGACATCAATCGTTCCCACCTTTGTCTTTTTTGACAAAATTAGGCTACTTTTAGATGTTGAAAAGGGGTAGTAAATCTTAAATTAGAAGTTAAATTTATGTTAATGAAAGAATATCAAATAACTACTCTTTTCTTTGCTAAGTTTTAAAATTCTAAGTCCTTTTTTGTGATTTTAAATTTTTGAGGGTGTGTTTTACAAATTTTAAACTTTGAGAGTATTTTTTTTTGAAAATTTTAAATTTTAAGTGGGTGCTTGTAATTTTCATATTTTATGTATTAATGGTAAGTTTTCGAATGTCAAAATATTTCTTGTAACTTTAAAATTTGAGGGTGTTTTTTGTAATTATTAAAATCTTAGATTGTTTTTTGTAAAATTTAAAATTTCAACGGTCCACTGATAATTTTCAGATTTGATATGTATTGATTATAATTTTTAAAATCTCAATGTTTTTTTGTTATTTTTAACTTCTGAAGAAGTTTTTTGTGATTTTTATAACTTGAGGTTATTTTTTATAAAATTTAAATTTTCATGTGCCTGATGGTAATCCCCTCAATTCATCTTTGGTATTTGTAAGTTTTAAATTTCAAAATTCCAGAGTACTTTTTTATTATTTATACTTTTGATGGCGTTTTTATAATTTTTGAAATGTTAGAGGGTATTAGTAGCAAATTTTAAATTCTTCATAGGTTGTTGTTAATTTACAAACTTCATATTTCTTGTTTTAAGTTTTGAAACGTAAGGATGTTTTGTGTAATTTTAAAAATTGAGGGTATTTTATGTAATTTTTAAAAAAATTTAGGTTTTTTTGGAAATACTTCATATATTATAACATATTAGTTCTTTTCGTTAACAAATTAATACTGTGGAGCTGTTTCATATATTTTATTAATTTTATTTTCAAATTGTTAATCTGTAGGTAGTTCAAATGAGATTATGTTAGGGTATAATTATGATTAATATAGATTAAAATTTAAATGAAAAATTCAAAAGGATAATATTGACCATGAAAAGCTTTTTTTGAACCCGTATTCTTAAATGGAGTATGATATGTGTCTGTGTATACATATATATATGTTTATGTAAATATGTGTATATGTATATGTTTGTGTACACACATCTATGTATGTGTGTCTGTACACACATACACACACATATACATAAATATATGTATATGTGTGTGTGTATATGAGCAATGGAGAAACTTGGTACCAAGCACAAGTTTTTGTGCTTGGTAGTGAGCTGGTTCATTCTCATCCACCCATTCAAATGGGGAACCACATTCACATGGGTTAGAGAATTGATGAGAATAAGACACCTTACTATTAATCACAAAATTTATGTTTGGTACCAAGGTTCTACGCGCGCGCACACGCACACACACATATATATGTACATGTACATGTACATATATATGTATGTATATGTACATGTACATATACATATACATATACATATAAATATATATTAATTAGTAAATAGATATAAAGTTGATATCTTATTTTAATATCTTTAAATTAGAGATAAGGAATTGATAATTAGGATTTAACTTTTATCTTTAAATTTTGAAAGTTATGGTGAGTTACGTTCAAAGTTAAGGAGAGTATTTTTTATGTTTACCCTTGCTCCGTTTACTTGCTACATTCTTATTCTATTCTTATTAATATAAATAATTAACTAAATGAGAAATTATGGTGTGCATGTGTGTATACAGACATACATACATATGTGTGTGTATATATCATATGTATGTGTTTCATTGCATGCGAAAAATATTTAATTAATAAAAGATAAGAAATTCATAATTAGAAGTTAGTTTTTATCTTTAAATTTAATTGTCTATGATAATTAGTAAAGAGATAAAAAGTTATTATCCTATCCTAATATCTTTAAATTAGATGATAAGGAACCGATAATTAGTAGTTAGTTTTTATCTTTAAATTTAATTATCTATAGTCATTAGTGAAGAGGAAAAAGTTGTTATCCTACCTTAATATTTTTTAAATTATAGCATCTTGATCAAAGATAACGTTTGATAATTATAAAAAAATACCCTCAGAATTGACCCCCAAAAATTTTGAAAAACTACCCCAAGAAAGAAACACAATAAAGAAGGGTTATTTTCATATATATCCCTTAAATCACAGGTATTTACAAAAATGCCCCCAATCTTAGTATTCATGAACTATCCTCAAATCATCAACTTTGTGAAAAACTACCCCTAAATTAATAAACTATCAAATTGGTGCTAAATATTTGACTATTTTGTTCAAAATTTATCATCATTTAATAGTTTGGATGATAAGATAAACTTAGTTTTAACTATAGCTAATCTTTCTAAATTTTAAATTTATCATCATGATTCAAATTTTTCATCAACTAATAATTTTGATGAGATGATAAACTTAGTTTAACTAAAGATATCTTTCTAATTCTAATTTGGTGCTAATAATTTTTCATCACCTTGTTTGGGAACACTTAGGAGGTGAAGTTATTCACCCTAGTTCCCCTTAGTTCACCCCTTAATAGTATAAAATTTGTTAACCCCTCAAATTAGGGTGTAACCAAGGAGAAGGGAACTCCCTTCCCTTCCCTTCTATTCTCTCACCTACCTTCCCTTAACTTTCCTTAACCCCATTAAAATCCAAACAAGCCCTAAATCAGCATCTTTACACCAAGGCATGATATTAGTTTTTAGGAAGAATTTAAACATCCTCATCAGCATCTTCACGCCAAGGCATGATATTACTTTTTAGGAAGAATTTAATCATTTAAAAGATACATGTAGATTTCCTTTAAAAAAATATATGAAGATAATAGCCTCTTCAACGTCTTATTGCGCTTTCAAAATAAAGCTTTTCATAAGCTCTAACGATTTTGTTTTTCTCTTTCAGTTTTGCGGACTCGATAATCAATAACAGTATGGTCATACAAAATCACAGTAACACTTGAATGGTATCAGCAACACATTTAGGAACCCAACGTACACCCAGGGATCAAAATGGTTTAGAAAAGAGGAAAACCACAAACTTGCCAAAATGTAAACATAATTTTCAGTAAAAAAAACTAGAATCCAAATATTTGACTAGTGCTTATTAACCTCTCGATAAAAAAGGTAGTTGATCCACAGCAAATTATCTCAGCAGCTGCGCAGCAAATTCATCAACTTGCATTCAGAGACAAAAAATTCAGCTCAAGTTGTCCACAGGGCTGGATGAAGGTATACACACACAAAATGATGCGAACGTCCCGATAGTCTTTTGGCTGAGCAGGGTAACGAAGAGCATTAAAAAATGAAAAGTGGGGAAGAAAATTTTATTGGAAATGTCAAAGACAACATTGCGTCGTTAAAAGAGCTCCAATGTTCAATATCCCCAATAGTCATTCCTTATTTCATCGTCAAACTTCTTTTTTAGCTCAGGATGCTTTGCAAAGTACTCATCTGCAGTCATGGTGCTGATCTTTTTCTGCGAAGCAAAACAATTTTAATGAGACCGAGACAGACTTTTAAAACAAGACTTTATTCAGTATTAACCCATGATTATCACCTTCATCTCTTGGACTTCTGCAATTTCTTTCTCCAGTCTTTCAGACTCTTTCAGAGATTGTTGCTCGGCTTCTTTCAGCTCGACCAACTGCACATTTGAGGGGGGGTACAAGTTCATGCTAAAATCATTCTAGTACCTCTGTAAAGAATCAAAGAGTACTAATTTTAACCATAGAAGTGAAACGGAAAGGGGGGAAATCTCACCAAAGCATCGAACTTGGGTTTGTACTCAGGAGTCACAGTGTCAACATACTTGGGGATCTGGATACCTGAAAAAAAAAAGCCGTGCTTATTTAGCTTAAACAAGTAGAACATGATTTCGGGTAGACGACTGTAGAGTTAGAAAATGAATAGCACCCAAGGTTTATATCAAATCCACTGTGGGTCATAATAAACAAATATGACACTGTGATGAGATGATTGTAATCAAACGTCTGCAGCACTAAGTTGCAACAGTGCACTAGAAAATATTTGTTAAAAAAAAGACTTCTCTTAGAGCACCATAAGTACACAAGATAAACCCTTCAAAGATGATACATGGTTAACATATATCACTGAACAAGGCTACAATTTGTCTTGAGATTAGTGGTGCAGACATGAACAAAGGTTCTAAAAATCACAATTGGCATTCACACATGTCTATTCTGATTAAAAAATCATACAAAACTGATTTTCTTGGTCGGACAAGCTTAAAATTCCATAATTTGACAGTTACATAATGGCAGGTACCTCCTCACTGACAAAAGAGACTCTCCAATTCCTAAACAACAAAATATGCATCACCAGTAACAAATGTCCAAGAACTGAAATCAAAACTGATTCCACATGGTTTACTCTTAACAACAATAAATTCTACGTGCTTGCCACTTAGAAGATATTCTTTGATCTATCAGGAAGGTGGCTTCAAGCACACCAAGGTGTATATCTCAAGCTAACTTAACCAGAGAGAACCAAAAGCGATATAAACCCAAGTGTCAGATAACCGTCTTATAATGAGGGGAAAAAGGAAAAATCAAGTATGTTTCTATATTATGTAGCATGGACTAACGGTTAAGTGCAAAGAAATACAGTAATTTCCATTATATTGCTACGATGTCCTGCAAAACATCAAGTAGCAAATTTCAGTATCTTAAGAGGTTGATCTCCTTGAAGGGTTCCGACTAGGGTTAGCACTTAGCACTGGAGGTCCAACACCCATTAAACCAACCTAAATCCAACCCAGATGATTGCATTCAGATAGCGATGTAGATCCATTAAAGATATCAGGTTGGTTTGGAATTTAAAATTCCCATCTACAAGTTTATTGGATTAAATGTCAATAATCTTGTATCCAAGACCCACTATCCTGATAACCTAAGCTGAAACTTAGAAAGGGATGCTTGTATCTTGAGATTCAGATATATCAACCATTTGTGAAAGTGAAAGTTCAACAATGAAAACTAAGTTTTCAATTACTAAATTATTTTAGATATTATTGGTCATCTTATTTGTAAAGCAAGAGATACCATTATCTATCTTTTTAAATCTATTTTAAATTTGCATTTTCTGCATCATCTGTTTTGGAAGCTAGTTTATCAAATGACAACCTGTTATTGTTAGTATCATCTTTCTTCCATTGGACTGACTTCATATTGCCTTGACAAGGTAATGCTTCCCTATCCAGAATTTCCTTTTTATTTCAGTAAATAATAGATTTGTTTTTATTTATACTAACTAAATTGTGAAAATATTGAACATGTTCGATATGTATTCAAGAGACAATCTGAATTCAAATACAATGGATCAAGTTTAGACATACAATTAGTTCTTAGTGCGCTCGAATTGGGTTATGGATAGCTTTACGTCTTACTGTACATGGATATGTATGTAATAGGTACCCGACCAAAACATGGCTCATTGCCACCCCTACTTCTATCAAGTGGTATTAACTTTCTCTTCAACAAACCCTACTTCTATCAAGTGGTATTAACTCTCTTCAACAATTTAATGTAACCCAAAAATTTTTATTCTAGTTAATGAAAAAGCAAGTTTATGGATACTATTGGAGACAGTCCACATTTAATATAAAAATTCCAATATTCCACGATGAAGAAGCAAATCATGTTACTAAAACGAAGCAACTTATAAAAAGAAATACTCTTAAAATTGCATAGTGCAAAAAAATTGTCAATAAACATGCACATGAATTTCTTAAAAAAGTTAATATGCAGATGATTCACACCTAAAAAGACATCGAATTAGTCTCGTACATGGAGTTGGCCAAGGAAAGAACATCTTTCTCGGCATATTCATGTGAAATTATCATATAATTTTCATTGTCTTCTTGGTGAACTATAACCCCAATAAGCGAAAAATTCGTGAGAAAAAAATGTGCTAGAGAAAGGGAATAACCTTTTTCTACTATTTGGTTCTAAGAGTCTGAGACGGGATAATGTTTATTGTCATGCCTCAATAGAAATTCAGAAGGGAATACCTTTTAGTTAATTATCCGCATCTTGAAATTTGAGAACTGACATAATATCTCAAAATTGGAGATTAAACACCACCTTAACTAGTCATTCTGATGTCTGATGTTTCACGGGTCAAAGATTTGACTTCTAAGTCTGATGCAATGCACATTAATATTCAGTATTGAAATGGATGAGCTCAGCTGCACAAGCTACATTATTCTGCTAGACTAGTGGCACTAAATTATTTAGCCACGTGGAAAGTTAAATAATCTCATATTTATGCGGTAAACATGTACCAAACTTTATTTTCTAAGCCTCTAAAAGCGAAAACCACTAAAACCAATAAATATATGAGATACACATTGCAATATTAGTTAATGGAAAAAACCCTCCTAAATTTATGTTCCACTGTTCAACTGTTAATACAAATTTGCAACAGCAGACATGGCTGCATATTTGTTACTGCATTACAAGAATATATTCTATTTTAATGATAGGAAAAATTTCATAACACAATGTCATCGTAAAATCCAAAAAAATTGAAGAAAAGTGCTCAAAGAAAAACATAACAGAAATCAAACGAGAGATAAGAAGGACGAAACATACTATCAAAAGCTTCTTTATACATATCCACCAAACGGGAGCCAATTCCTTTCCTGTAATATTCCCAGTCAATAGGTTGAGGTTCCTACATGATTAATGAACACTCATGTCATTAGTCTAAGTGCAAAATATTAGCATAAGATAAACACCCACGAAACAAGAAAAATCAACGGCGCCTAAAGGGTTTTCATCTTTTTTTGATAGAAATAATACTTTTATACAAGCAATATTGTAGTTTTGTCACAATCTAAAGAAATATTATTTTTCTTTTGTATCTCATTGTAGTTTTGATTATACTGATGTGAGGAAAATGTGGACTTTTACACATATTGTGACACCCCTACTACAAATTCCTGGCTCTGCCACTGGCTCGGGTGTATATTTCAATCTAGACCACCTTTGGGTATTGAAGAGAAGAGGAAAGCAATACATCTAACATGAAAAAACAAATAAAATGAATCATAAAATGATGAAAAATCAGATTCAAACCAATTAAGATAATACTTGGTATCCACCCCGTGCCATTAGAACAAAATTTCTACAAGATGCAAACTGGCTTTGGCCGATTAACAGTGTAGAAAGACATAACTTGAAATAGCACTCCATTTCCTAATGACAGCTGAACAATTGCTCACGGAACGGCTTAAGATAGAAAATGGTAGTAAATTTTCTATCTCCGATCCCTCAAAATTTCAACAAATCGAAAGCTTGCAAAACCCTAGATCCGATCAGCTGAGGGTTTTCACCTGGCTGAACTTAGTCTGGAGTTCGTTGTTGACCTCATCGAAGGCTCGCCGGAGGTTGGCGTACTCCTTGCGAGCCTCGTCGGTGATGAGGACCTTGGCCATGCCGTCCCAGTCGATCATCGACCTCGCCGCCTTCGCCGCCGTCTCCACCGCCTTCTTCCCGCTCCCGCTCATCTTTCTCTCTCTCTCTCTTTCTCTCGAGATCGATCGATCGATCGATGAAAGGATTGATTCGATTTATTTGTTTATTTTGGAAACTTTTATCGTGAGGAGAGAAATGGGGGCTCGAGCTAGGGTAACAGGCTGGGGATATAATATGGAAGGTGTAGGTGGGCCTTTACATGGGCTGTTTAAGAATGCACAGGCCCAGAAATTTAAGCATTGCCCCTTTTATTGTACAACATTTTAAATCAGTGTAAGCAGAATATTAGTCTAATCACAAATAGTAGATCACGTGATCACAGTCTAGGTTAAAAAAAATATAACAGCATAAATAATTTATTTGATTCTCAAGGGTATCATGTGGTCACAGTCTGGGCCTTTACACGGGTATTATTGCTGATGTAGCTTCTATTGGTTTTCATTAATATAAATTCCATTTCGCTTAAAAAAATAAAATAAAAACAATATTATAACAGCATAAATAATTAAAATACCAGTATAATAGGTATAATTTGAGTACAACAGTTAAAATATTAGTGTAATCAAAGTATTTTTCCAATTAAAATTTCAATAAAATCACGAAATTTGAAATGTATACCAGAACACTTGCCCGCTCCATTTTCGGTATGGGCACCTTATGTGAGCTATCAGTTACTCAACCCTCCGACCCAACCCCTCAAAAAAATGAAGTTCTTTTTCACTAGCCTCTTCTTATTTCCTATTATCTTCATTCATGTGTTTGATGGGATTTACAGAAGAAAATGCTTCCGGAGAAAATGGAAATATTCTGCTTTTTCTTCTTCAAATATCAGTTGCATATAAAGAAAGTTGACAGTAACTTAGAATGAGATTTCAAGTAAATAATATGTTTTTTTGTTAGCATAGCAGCATTTTCAAACATCAGATACAGACAATCTTCCGCCCTAACAAACAATGTATACGGTAAAGGATTAGAGGAAAGACATGAATGAAATCCACACAAAAAGTGAGAAATAACTTATTGCGAGCCACCCCCGAGAAAAAAAAAAACTACTGCCGAGCCTCTTCCGTTCAGGAAATTGAATTCTGGACATGAACAAACTGTTGTGCACGGCGCGGAAGCCAAACAAACAACCAACTATGATGCTTTGAGAAACCAAACCAACAAACGCCGAGAGAAAGACCAAACAAAACACAAACACCAAAGTTTTACGTGGTTCGGCAATTGCCTACGTCCACGGGGCAAGAAGGGGGGTGGGTTTTCACTAATAGAGAAGGAGAGTACAAATTGAGATTACAAATCGCTCAAACGAACCAACTAATCTCACCAACAAATCTCTCAAACTCTCAACCAATAACCCTAACAAATAGCTCAGAAAGATCTCTCTTTTCTGTGCTCCAAAATCCCCAGATTTGCTCCTACAAAACCCTCAAATCGTATTGGTATTTATACCAAAACAGAAACCCAAACAGACTGCAAATAGGAACTCTAACTTTCCAAAAAACCCGTCATAAGTCGACTTAACAGTCTGCATAAGTCGACTTGGCAGAGCGAAAAACAACAACTGGAGAAGAGATCATAAGTCGACTTATCAGACCTGATAAGTCGACTTGGCAGAGCGAAAACCAACAATCCAGAACAGAACGTAAGTCGACTCATGCACCAACATAAGTCGACTTACCATAAGTCGACTTATGCCTGTGCATGAGTCGACTTATGACCAAAAATCTGCTTTTTCCAATTCTTCTCCACAATTCTCCACCTCGGCGAAGTTTTCCCAAAACTGAGCCGACACCAACCAAACAAATGCCTCACATGCTGAGACCCAAATGAGAGTGTGAACACTCACCCCAAATGTCGATGTCGCTCACCAAATCGGCTGCATCAAAATGACTGCCTACGTATCCTTTGCCCAAGGAATCAAGCCTTCACGTAGTTCACCCAAACGGCCTCCAAAGGCCCTCAATCAAATAGAAAAGTCTGCAACTCTTCTCCAATATCACCAAACGATCTGCAACTGATAGTATTCCCAATGACCCCAAATTGAGACAAATCAAACACCTCCACCTGAGGTAAACCAATGGCCATATCCAAACTATATCTACCAGCTGCAACTGAATCCAAAACCAATCCATCATCTGCATCCAAAACCAAATGATCTCCAACCTGTGTCACCTTAGCTGGAATCCCAAATGACGCAGTATGATCTGGAGTATGTGGAGTAATCTCCACCCAACGTGGAGTAGCATCACTCTCCACCTGCTGCGATATCCAAATGACCTGATCAACACTCTCCACCTGCCGAGAGTCAAAAGTGACATACCTGCTCAGAACAAAATCAGAAGCTCCCAAACGATAATCAACTGAGCCTCCGAACCCCAAACGCGCAATCGGATCCAATCTCACATCCACGATGTGACCAAATGCTGGGTATCCAAATATCCGACGCGACCCAAAATCTGAAGCAGCTCCACCAGATCTAATAACTCCTAAAGCAGCAGTCGGCGACCTATGCATAAGATGACCCAAATATGTCGAAGCCCGCACACCAATGCCAATGCTCGACATCAAACGCCGATCCTCCTCCAGAAAGGAACGACCCATCGAAACTGTCATCTCATCTCGTCGCCCCAAAGTCTCCACACCAATGAAGTGTCTCCTATTGCCGTGAGCTCGGCACCAACGCAAGAAAGGACCCCTACCAAAGCTGAAACAATGAGTTACCTTTCTGCCAATACACTTCTTCCAATTGTTGTTGACTTCTAGGACTTTACACCAACGGGAACTGGTCGCGACCCAATAATGCCTAGAACAATCACCAACTGTGGAAACCAAGATACGATTACCTCCCAATGATGCCTCCTTGGAAGGCCCCCAAATGCCTGACTGAACACCTCCAAAAAGACCCCTCGCTCGATGGATAGAAGTGCCAAACTCCACCACGGTCTCGCTCATCCTAATGTGCTCACAGGACTTCAATCTGCAGGTCATAGCACTCCTCAACAACCAATGCACGGTATTACCAATCATATACCCCAGCACCAAACAATGCCACAGTCTAGCCGAATCTGATGAAGTCGTCATTTCCCTATCAATCACCGTGCTTCCGTGCAAATAATACAAATTTCTTCTTCTGACGCCCTTCATCACAATCATGGACCCAAATGTAACCTTCAAGCGTGCATCCGCCAAGGTCACCCTATAGCCAGCTGCCTCCAAAGCTCCAAGTGAAATGATGTTCTTCTTCAACTGAGGAACGAACCTCACTCCAACCAACTCCCGAATCACCCCGTCACTCATCCTGATCCGAACAGTACCAATACCACCAATAGAGCATTTGTGATCATTCCCCATGAGCACGAAATCCCCTCTTTCCAACTCCTGAAAGCTGGAGAACCAATCCCTCCTAGGGCAAATGTGGTATGTAGCACCCGAATCCAATATCCACTCTGTAGAGTAGGCAACACAAACTGACGGCAGTGCAGATAACGAGTAGCCCGAAGAATCCGAATCTGAATCGTTGCCACTAGCCTTGACAACATTCGCCTCTGAAGCTTGAATAGCTTTTCCCTTATTCTTCCCGGCTCGATCAACTAACTTTGGGCAATCGGCTTTCCAATGTCCATCTTCTTTGCAAAAGGCACATTGATTCTTACGAACTCCAAGATGTGCCCCTCTAGACTGCGACCTCCCACTACGGTTTGGACCCTTTGCTCTTGCGACCAACGCCCCCGCTACCGGCTCAAACGAAGTCTCCTTATCCTTCTTTCGAAGCTGATAATTCACAAGTGCAGCGGTGACCTCACTATACGAAAGAGATGCCTTCCCATTAATAAGAGTAAGAACGAAGGTCTCATATTCCTCGTCAGGCAAGGAACTCAATAGCAACAACGCCTTGTCCTCATCTTCAATCTTAACATCCACATTCGCCAAATCCGCAAGAAGCTTCGTGTAGTGGTTCATGTGATCACCAATGGAGGTTCCTTTCTTCAACTGGAAGCGGTAAAGCCTCCTCTTCAAATGCAAGCGATTCTCCACACTCTTGGTCAAATACTTGCTCTCAAGGATCTCCCAAATCTTCTTTGCAGAAGTCTCATTGATCACATCATACTTTAGATCTTGAGTGAGACAAGACCTAATCACACCACACGCCGTTCGATTCATCTTTTTCCAAACCTTCTCATCAATGTTGTCCGGTTTCCCGTCCAACTCCAACGTATCTTCCAAATTTTGCGCGTTGAGCGCATCCATGACTTCGCATCGCCAAAGTCCAAAATTGTTTGTGCCATTGAACTTTTCCACATCAATCTTCATTGAGTGGATATTCAAGCTTTGGACGGTCTTCACGCCGGAAGTACTGCCCACAACTCCTTCTTTCTCGGCCATAATCCTCAAGGCACCACCAAACCAATGCGGAAACAAACGAGAAATAGATCCAAACTGAAAAAGACGAGATTTTTACAAAAAAAGATCCCACCTTTATCACCAAACGAAGCCCTAGATGAACTTCCAAAGCGATCTACTCCTCCAAATAGCCCAAGCGTTGCCCGTGCTCTGATACCACTTGTTGTGACTGATGCTTTGAGAAACCAAACCAACGAACGCCGAGAGAAAGACCAAACAAAACACAAACACCAAGGTTTTACGTGGTTCGGCAAATTGCCTACGTCCACGGGGCAAGAAGGGGGTGGGTTTTCACTAATAGAGAAGGAGAGTACAAATTGAGATTACAAATCGCTCAAACGAACCAACTAATCTCACCAACAAATCTCTCAATCTCTCAACCAATAACCCTAACAAATAGCTCAGAAAGATCTCTCTTTTTCTGTGCTCCAAAACCCCAAAACTCTCCTCACAAAACCCTCAAATCGTATTGGTATTTATACCAAAACAGAAACCCAAACAGACTGCAAATAGGAACCTGAACTTTCCAAAAAACCCGTCATAAGTCGACTTATCAGTCTGCATAAGTCGACTTGGCAGAGCGAAAAACAGCAACTGGAGAAGAGATCATAAGTCGACTTATCAGACCTGATAAGTCGACTTGGCAGAGCAAAAAACCAACAATCCAGAGCAGAACGTAAGTCGACTCATGCACCAACATAAGTCGACTTACCATAAGTCGACTTATGCCTGTGCATGAGGATTCAGGTTTCAAGCTCTTGGCACAATGATGGTCTGAGAGGAGTTGCTTTGTTTTCTCCAAAACGCCGAAGAAGATTGAACCACCGATACCTATCCATAGCACTCTTGGACCAATACCCTGTAATAAAGAAAAAATAATGAGAACTGATGCGTTGTTATTTGTGGTTCAGTTTGCGGTTCTGGGTTGTATGAGCTTTCGTAAGTTGATATTTTTACTTTGGTGTTCTGGGTTTTTTGAGGCCATGAATATGCATTTGTTTTGGTTTTATATCCTCGCTCTTAAAAAATGAAGGCACAAACACAACCTATACGGCATCTTTATGAAGACATCCTGAGATATCAATGCTCAACAAAACTCACATTCTAAGGAAGCATACACCAACACAAGTCCAATAGCACTTGCTGGCCATGCATACATGCTAGCATGATAGTTGTGATTTGTTTCCCCGCCAATGCTATATTGCTTAAATCAAAGGGAAAAATAAACTTTTTCAGGACTAGAATATTATACTTCAAAACCATTTGTTTCCTAAAATGAACCATGTATTTTAAAAAGAGCACTTTTTCAGGACCAAAGATTCAAAGGGCCAAAATTGGAATGTGTTCTTCCTACTTTATTAGGATTTTAAGGGAAACCAAGGATTAGTAAGGAGGACACTTGCCCATAGCTGGTCACACAATTCTGAGTACAAAAACAATTTCTCAGTTGAATGGTCCAAGATCATAAAATAGACTCGCTATATCTGGCACAAAGGGGATCCAACCAACTTGGGCATGAAGTTACTCTGCTGGACTAACTCTTTTGAGACAAAAACTCAAAATTAATTATCTTTCTAAGTACATAGATAGAAGCATTTAGGAGTCCAGGAAATGAACACAGCACTAGAAGAGCAAACCTTCAAAAGAGCAGCAGGGCCTTCTTCTCTGACAATGGTTTGAGCACAACTAACAAGTCCCTTGTATTTCGCTCCTGAACCCTGTAAAGTTTACATCCAGATACAGGTACGCATGATGCTATAAGGCTTTGAAGATTACTCAATACCCACATGAAAAAGGGTAAAGTGCAAATAACCCTCTCCATCTTTCTACTAAAATAGTTGAGGGGTGATTACTACTACCGAAGATATAGAGAAACAAGGTACCAGTTCATTGCCCAGATCAAGAGCAGCATCACTGAATACGTACAGTCCTGTTGCCAGAGTTGCTTCCACAAAAGACACATATTTTTCTGAACTTCTCCTGCAGCCCTCCATCCATTATTACACTGTTTCTCTCCTCTTTTGTTGCTCTCAAGATGAAAAGGGAAGCATTAGCATGAGCATTACTTGTTGGTTCTGCTCTCATATTATTCTTTGATTTTGTTTACTGGAGAGAGAAGAGCAGGTGCCAGTTTAATATATTTTTGACATACCCACTCTCTTTGGAAAGCAGAGTGCTAATCTCTCAAAAGGCTTGATCTTTTGTTCTCTCTTTTTAAATTATTCTTTCTGTCTCTTTCCTCCTTTTTTTTTTAAAGAAGAACAGAACCAAAGTTACATGGCTGTTCATGTTCGAAGTTGTGAAGAACCAAAGTCTCTAATTGGAGAAAGTTACATGGCTGTCATGTTCGAAGTTGTGAAGATAAAGGCCTTATCGGGTTGATGAACTGCATTGAATTTTGAGAGCGTAATTTGTCAAACCCTTAAAACCAGTCTAGCATTGAACCTACCTGGCCCAAGTTTGCATTTGATTTTAATTTCTTGGCAAAATTGGACCAGTTTTAGCCCAGCTTTTTCTTAAGCCAGAAAAGACGGCTAAAACTGGTTTATCCACCTCTCCTCTGGATAAAAAAGGACAAGTTTAGTTCAAAACTAGGCCCGGATCTATTTAGAAGTAAACATCTTTTATGAAACCCCCGCTATAGGGGGTAGTCTTAGCCATTGAGGGGGCATTGAAATTACCATAGTACCCCCATTAACTCAACTTGCTTTGCTCAGAATGCCCCACATGGTGCAAGGTATCTGATGAGGTGTGTACTCCACATTGAGACCCTCAAATACAGTCTAAATCTTGATATTTCTAAAGATGACAACAAACACGGTTTTGTCATATTGACCCTCCAATCGTCTTTAATTGTGTTATACCCACAAATCTTGATATTGCTAAATATGATGGCCCATTGTTTGGAGTGGTTTCATAAAACCCCTCACGGGTGGTTTCCATCCAAAATTTTTACCAAAGTATTGTTAATTCTTAACCATAAAGAGTAAATTACATTAGTAGCTCTATTCTTAGTTGCTCGCACCTTCCAGTCACCCTTATGACTCAAAAATATACATATGGTGCGTGACTCAGTCAATCGTAAAAGCACAAGGACCCTAATCCATGGTACTTAGATATTATTACCATATTATTAAATATAACTAAATATATTATTATCTTAGGTAAAAGGATTTTAAGATGCCACACATAGATTAGACTATTTCAATGGATGATCCACTTCATTCATCATGAATTAAATATTTTAAAACATCTACAAAATAAAAGGCATGATGATCGATACTTCTAACATATAATTTTCATTGTCCCTTTTATTTGTATTTTCATAAAACTGTTAATTTTACAATCACTTGATGCATGAGTAACTATAACCCAATATGTCTAATATTTTTATTTCTATACTATCCAAAACATATAGATCAAAATAAACAGTGTGGATCAAATAATTTGATTGCATATAACTTAGTTTTGAAGGTCCTGCCTTAGATTGAACCTATGGTGACACCTTAGAATCCTTTGTCCCTTTTATTTGTATTTTCGTAAAACCGTTAATTTTACAATCACTTGATGCATGAGTAACTAAAACCCAATATGTCTAATATTTTTATTTGTATACTATACAAAACATATAGTTAAAATGAACAGAATGGATCAAGTAATTTGATTGCATATAACTTAGTTTTGAAAGTGCCACCTTAGATTGAAGGTAAGGTGACACCTCAAAATCCCTTTTCCCTATTATCCTATGTAACCACTCATGCTTATCCTCATAACAACTCGTGCATTAATATAAGATATCACATGCATGCTACTATAAACATCAATAAGCAAAGTTTTTTTTATTCCTAACATGGTATTAGAGCAAGGTTTACTAATCTATAGTCTCATGTCTTGCTAAACCTCAGGCTACTAAGGGAATTTTGCTTGTCTGGCCCTCGGTGGCCTATCAAACCCTCAGATCTCATCATTGCCAGCTATTTCCTAACCATTATACCAAATCTCCATAGTTGTGATGAAGGTTGAGGGTTATAATTTTATAGTCTAACATGCCCCTACAGGTTGAGTGCCTTTTTTATAGGCTAAAACATGGGCTCATCTAGTGTTATTAATACTTTTAATCCCTATTATCATGGTCAGTGGGATCAGCCTATAAAAAGAGCGCCCCACCTACAGGGACATGTTAGAATAGACTCTCAACCTTCACTATAGCTTTGGAGGTTTCATGTATACAATAGATATTTGCCGCCAGTAAGATTCAAACTTTGGTTGCTCTAATACCGTGTTAAAGTCCTTAACTAATACATCAAAACTCTAAAGTTTTGATGAGGTTTGAGGGTAATTATTTTTAGATTCTAACATGCCCTACAAGTTGAAGACCCTTCTAAGGGCAGAAACATTAACTCATGCAGCGGTATTATTTTTAGAAAACCCGCTTTAAACTTGTAGCTATTAGAATTTAAACATGAGTTGCTCTCATACCATTATAAAGATCCTACCACTATACCAAAACTCCAATGTTTTGGTGAGGCTTGAGTCATATTTTTATATTCTAGCAGATCTCTCCATCAAGATCTCTCTAGTCAGACTTCATCGACTCAGTTCATCATCATCACTTCCATTAATCATCGATTCACTTCGTCATCAACTCAATTTGTCATTGACTTCTCCATTGTCTACTCACACTGACACCATTGTCTTTCTGTCTTCTTTAATAAGATCTCATCAGCATTCATTATCCCTATCTCTTTATCCGGATCTTCTCAATTATATATCTAATGTCTGATCTATCCACAATAGCCTAAATTCAGCTAGAGGAGTTCGCTATCATCAATCAGATTCCTATCTACGTCTTTTCAAGGATTTAACGAAAAGAAATTCTCTGTTTCTTCTCTGGATAATGCAGCAAAGTATGTTCCAAACAGAGGCTTCGGCCTCTCTATTGCTTACTTGATGTTTCTCTAATTTTCCACTTGGATTGAGGGTTATATAGATTCTACTCGAAGTGAAAAAAAATCTGCTTTCATCTCTTGTGAGACTTTTAACTCCTTTAACAAACACCTATTATCTTTCACTCTCTATCCTTGCATTTTAAGCTGGCACCCTCGTTTATGACGTCTTCATTGACATAGGATTCATTTTTATATTGATTCTCAGTCAACAATTGAGCATCTTCATGTTGATTTTGGTTGCAACATTGAGAATTTGAACAGCTTGCTACAGTTTCAAACTGCATTACGACTTTTAGAATCGCCATTTCATGAACCACATGTACCGTAATAATTACATCACCTTCTTCACCAATAAGAAGCCCTCCACTCCAACTAGATAATTGCTGCCTTCCAAGCCTCCTAGTAGCTCTCCCCTAGTTTTATGTTCCATATAACTATCTTTCCCTCTGACCTTTTTGTCTAGTTCTTTCTCTCGGAAAATCCCATCGTCGTCACATCCGACATTTCGGCTATAACGAGATTTTCTTCTTTATAGCCTTGGCATCAACCATTATCCATTGAGATTTCCTTTGCAACGACCTCCTCCTATTTTCGGCTCAAATCTTCTTCCATCAAAGTACTAGGATTTCTATCCCTCAGTGTTTGATCTTGTTGCCACTAAGATTTTCTTCGTTGATGTATTTCTTCGTTGATGTACAAGCATTCCTATCCCATGTCATTCATCTCGTCGACATTGAATTCTTCTCTATTGATGATTCTGAATTTCTATTCTATGTCATCTATCTTACAGCCTTTGAGATTTTCTAAATCAATATCATTGGATTCTCATCTTATTGATCTTGATCTAGTCCCCGTGCTGGACTCCATCAAGGTTCACACGTTTCTAGTACAAACTTTTTTTTTGTTTAAACTCATGTTTTTTTTTTCAAATACTAAGATATTACTCTTATTGTTGATAGATATAATTAGACAGTCTTATCCTATGCAACCATTCATGCTTATCCCGTACAACAACTTATATGTTTATATAAGCTATCATAAGTATGCTATTATAAACATCAATAAACATAGTTTTCTCTATACCTAACAATTCTCATACATATACCCAAGCCACAATCAATCATAATCATGTACAAGGACCACAATAACATATACAACATTCACAGAAATATATAAATACACCAAAAGATAGTGGAAGTAATCGAAATATGATAAAGTTCTCAAATTTCAACAATACATATAAAAGTCTTAGGCACAAAGGCCTCCATGAAATTATAGTGTCAACTGAAAAACAATGTACTAATCCCATGAACACTGTGAGATACAACTGATAGTCTATAAGATACCACTCTCAAATCTGAAATGAACAGGGTAGCTGATTGCGAATTTAAGGGATGAGAGTACGTATGTCTAATAAGCGCCCTTGCGAGGTATCCAAATCCCATGCCTCAAGGTTTTGAAAAAGATGAGCAAACTAAATCCAGATCTGAATATGCAAATCTAGATCTGTCAGATAGCATATTAGCAAGTGTGCAAAACTAAGGGAAATGCATTCAACACGTATAGCGTAGATCATGATGACGCGTGAGCACGTAGAAGCCATAACTGATAAGCAAGATCTAGAAATAATTAGCATAAACAGAACTGACCATGAAATGATTAACATGTATGTGCGACATGAAAGTTACCTAGTATCTAGCATACAACACGGATATAAGCATGTGATCATGAATATCAGGAATCATGACATATACTGGGACGTGCCAAAAGAATATAACTAAGTAACAAGAAACAAGCTAACCTGGTAGGAGTTGTGTAAAGTGCACTGAATTTGTTTGTAGACAGTGGACTAACAACTACAAAAATTGTAATTCTCCTTACTTTTTTTGTCTATGGGTGACACAATTTTGTGCCACGCAAATGGCACGTGACACAAACGACCTGCCTAAATAGTGCATGTGTGGAGAGAATTTCTCAATGCATATGACAATCTGTTGCGACACGCCCGACACAAACACGTATCGGAAGTCCTGACACTATGATGTGTCACTAATGTTTTTAATGTCTTTTTCTGATTTTCTATTATTTTTAGTATTTTTTTTGTGATGCATTTTTTTGTGGCCAAATGTTT